GGCAGCACTGCTGCCCCTCGTCTTGCAAGTGGTGTACGTCACCGATACATCGGAGGATGCCAAATTCATACACTTGCTTCGCGGGCTCGTCGACGAGAACCGCTTGCGCCTGCGCCAGCGCCACGCGACCGAGTTCCTCAAGGCCGTGCTCAACTTGCTACTGCGTCGGCAAAACGACCAAGGACGTGATTGGTACGAGAAGCTTCTCCCAAACCACGACGTATTCCTCCAAGGGGCACTGCGCATCACGTCGTGCTTGGCGACCGAACGCACCGACAGCGTCGTCGGCGGTGTCTTGGAGCAGCGGCTTCCGGCGCCCATTGTGGACATCATTGCGCGCTTTGACCCACACGACTGCTCTCTCTTGAAAGCCGTGCACCGCACCGAGCTGTTGCTGCAACAAGTGCCCGAAACGCTATGGGCGCTTCGGAACGTACCACTGGCGCTGCAATTGCAGCCGTACATTGACGTCGCGATCGCCTACTACGCCACGACGCGTGACTGCAAAACCCTCGGACTCGGCGCGCTGCTCAAAGTTTCGGCCGGTACCCCGTCCTTTGAAGCGGCCGTGGATGCGGGCGTGCGTCAAGAAATGGACTTGAACATTTGGGTGGATGTGCTCGCGGCACCCATGACGCACCTCGCGCCGTCGCTCGCAGCGCGGTTGACGCTGCAGGTCCTTGCTGCGGTCAAGGAGGTCTTCGCACTCCGAGTGCAGACGGACGCCACCTGCCTGAAGACGCTCGCGACCCAGGTGCAGGATGCCATTTGGATCTGCCACTACGTACGCGCCGACGACGCCTTGGCCAACCTACTCGACCGGCTCTTCACGCAGCAAGCGATGCACATGGACCAGGTCACGTTCATCATGGACGTGTTTGTGCCGCTTCACGATGCGTTTGTGGACTCGGACCTTGCGTCGCTGGCGATGGACCTTGCGATGCGAAGCGTGCCCGTACTCGCGGCGCGTCTCGCCTTAATGTCGACCCGCGAGACATCAACGATGGCGGCGTGGCCCTGCGACTGCCGCACTTGCACAAAGCTCAAGACGTTTGCGAGAGACCCAGAGCCAAGGACCGAGTGGTTTGTGACGCGCGGGTGCAAGTACCTCACACAAAGAATGGAAGCCGGCACCGCGTTCCATTGGTACCCGTCGCACGCCCAAGATCTGTGCTGGGAATTGGTCCATAAACACACGCCAAGTTTGGTCAACAACCCAACGGACCTCGTCACGAAGATGCACGACGCCAAGGCACGCCTCGAGCGCTCGCTCGCAGCGCCTTTGCAAAACTAAGAAACCGACTTCGTACTAGTATTGCATAGGAACACATTTTATCGCTTCAGTTTACGTTCTTATTGATCTTAACTTGATCTGACGTTGCTACAGTCCTGGTGTGTGCATCAATGCAGTGGATCTCTATCTATCTATCTATCTATCTATCTATCTATCTATCTATCTATCTATCTATCTATCTATCTATCTATCTATCTATCTATCTATCTATCTATCTATCTATCTATCTATCTATCTATCTATCTAGGCCCGCTCCACAACCGTTCACAGCACGGAGCGCGGTGGACATAAATTTGTTCCTGGAATATTTGAAACTGTAACGCCTCCGCGGCCTCTCGCATGACGTGGCACGCTCTGGTGCGTTGTTGGTATCCACACCGATCTTTCACGTACATCAAGTAACGAGTAAACTAGGATAACTTTCGCATCAATTGACTGTTCTAGGGAATTATGTACGCCAAAGCACATGTATTAGCAAGGGTATCGATATACTAGCGAGCACTCAACACCCCCGAAGGGCCATTGGTGAAAACAACAGTGTTTCTTTCAAGTCGACGAGCGCATCATGCACCGCGTCGATGCGACTGTCTGAAGCCATGTAGTCGAGCACGAACGGGAATTTCATCCGCGACCTGTACCCTGGTTCCGTTTCGTGCGAAATGACGGGTGCGCCATGCCGCGTTGGATACCGACCCATGTGCCCGGCGCGTACGTACGTCAAAAAGTACTCGCACGCGTGCCCGAACGTCGAGCCCGTCGTCGGGTGCCAGGATCGGTTCGTTCTCGCATTTTCCATGAAGCCAAGAAATGTGCCACACGTATGGCATCGACACCACCATGTCAGTTGTGGCAGCGGCGGTCCGCGCATGGCTGCTTTGAAGTACGCCTTCAGATCCCGAAAGCAGCGCGCGGCAAAGTCGACAGCAAGCGCATGGCAGCCCATCTCGACGCATGCTGCATGGAGAGGCATGAGCATGTCCATCGTGAATGTGATCGGCGACGTGTGCTTGGCTTGCTGGTCGTACACGCGCTGGACAACGGTCTCGAGCGCCGCAAAGTCCTTCAAGTAGTAGCAGATGCGCAGAGCACTGGTCGCATGGATGGCGCAATCACTCAAGCTCGTCTCGTCCGAGAGCTCGGTCAAAGGCAAGCTCCGCGGTAGGCCATCGAAGGCGACGGCCAGTACATGCGTGGCTTGGTCCAGCGTCAAGTTCAACTTTGGCGACGAGAGGGCCGTGGCCCAATGACGCGCCTCGAATGACGCTGCGTTCCGCTCAAACAGCCAATCGAATGGTGGCGTCCCGGTGGTGAGCACCATGAGCGCCGCGTCGTCGTCGGCAGTGCAGCCACTCGGCGGTGATCGAAAAACGTCGACGGCCAAGTCGATGTACGGCTGCAATGAAAAGGACAGGGATGAGTTGCGCAATGTATGGAGCGCCGCCGGGAGGGCCTTGGACAAGCTTGGATTGGCTGCCACAATGTCCAGAAACGATCTTGTTGGGTGCACAAAACTGTCGACGATCTCCAGCACCGGTGCGGGCAACCGCGTGGCGAGAACGCGGCCAATCGTGGGGTCGCCGCCTTGCGCGTCGATGCACGAGAGTAGCGGCAGCGCATGGACAAGGTACTCGGCCGCATGGTCGATCGTCGCCGTACCGCAGCGCGCGAGCAGCCGGTGCAGCCCGTCGTGGAGGAGCTCCACGGCGTGTGGCCATGTGCCGCGTGGCCACGCAGGTCGAAGCTTTGAGTTCCAGAGAAACGTCGCTAGTAAGCGCATGTACATTGCATCGTCGCCGACGGCACCCGCGTCCATCTGGCGCAAGAATCGAGGCCAGACCGCGCGGAGGCCGAGTATGTCGACAACGTCGGCAAACCAATCGCCCACCTCGTCCGGAGTGGGCCAAAACAGCTCTGCGGTGAGGGTTGAGAGAAAGGCCAGCGTGAGCGTAATGTCGCGAAGATGGTGCAGCAGCACCAAACCCGTATCACGCCACAACGCGTTTGTGACGGACAGTCGGTACATGAAGCGCTTGGCTGTGCCATTGGTTCGTGGCGCGACGGCGCGGCTCCAAAGCAGAACGACCGCGGTCGCGACGGCTCGAAGCGATGGCAGACCAAGCAAGTCGGTGCTCGTTTCTGCAGTGTAGGCGACCAGCACATTAAGTGTACGGCGAAGACCGACAAAGTACACGCGGTGCGCCTTGGGCCAAAAGGCGAGATACGCGCGTTTCGGCTTGGGCTGCCGCTTGGCCTGGCGCGAGGCATGCGTGAAACTCAACTCGACGACTTCGTTTCGTTCTGGAATGAACTGTCGCATTGCATAAGAGTGCTTGCAGGCCTCTTGCACCACCGTGGGGATGTTGCACGCCGGATGGAACGTGGTGGGCGATCCGTCCCGGACGAGCGCGACGTCGACGGCGTCAGTGGCCACAAGATACGCCACCACCGCCTGTTCTCGCTTTGTCAACGTCTCCAACGTCGACGTGTGGCTCGACACGTACAGCGGCATGGCAACGTGAGTCATGGCCGCGGCGTCGGCTGCGGCAGCACGCATGCTGGCGAGTGTCGGCGTTGGCAGTGGCTTCATCGACTTGGTGAGGCCCGGGACATCGCACGCATGGTGGTACGAAGAGTGGTGCAGACGGTACACAAGCGCGGCGCGGTAGCCGGACGCAATTGGCGCCACCGACACGTCGCAGGCCGAGTAGAAGCTCACGAGGCAGTCGTCAACCGTCTCATACGTCGTCGACCGATCGCCGTCGCATGTGATGGTGACGGCGCCACCCTGCGCGGTGGACGGAAGAGCACGTACCATGGTACCGAACGTGAGATTTTCGGGATCGACGTCGCGTGTCCATGCGAGCGCAGACCCGCTGCGGTCGATGACGAGATCGCTGAACGAAGTACTCCGGAAATTTCCCCACGGATGCAGTACCGAGAGCTGCAGCTTGCGCAGTGCGCCGTCCACGAGCTCAAGTGCGCTTGCACCGACAAAGGAAATGTCGCACGACGGAATGCGCAGGGGCTCGGACGGGTAGTGCGCCGCGAGCGCCGCCAACTGCACCTCGGAGAGTGGAAACGAGAGCTCGCCGTCGATGCCCTTGATGCTAAGTCGCGGTGCAATCGGCAGTGGAGACGAGGACCGCGTGCAGTGTGCGGCGTTGACGGCGTGCGCCAACTCGAGCATTTGCGTCGACATGATCGTTTGGCGGTACGTTGAAGAATGGACGCGGGTGTCCGGCGGCGTACGATTCTATCACGTCGTATCACGTTTTATCAAGTGGAATGAATCGAGTTGATACATTACGGATAGAGTATCCGTACAAACGCGACGTGATATGCGTCGATGAGGTTATTGACTCCGTTCGCTTTGTATAACAAGAGTTCTTCTCTAGGAATGTACAGTAGCACAGTAGTACAACGACAGACGTCCCAAGTTATGACTACGTGGTCTTTTAATGGGTCCAGCGACATGCCACCCCAAGTGTCGATTAAAATTACTATGGGCTCTGTCTCAATTTCCGAGATCGAGTACAGACTTTCCAGTGAAAAGTCTATTCCTCGGTGAGACCAAGGTATCACAGCCACTCGCCAAAATACCACAAACCAAATTCATCCGTCTCCCTCTCTCCACCAACGTAGCATGTATAATAGTGAGTGACAAGTCCATCATAACAACTTTGTAAAGAAAAGTGTGAAAAGTAGAGATGTGGTGTGAAGGAGAAGGGGTGGGGGTGGCGCACGCGCACACCCCCGCTGGCAAAAATTGCACTATGGAGGAACCCGAAGGCACTCCTAGGCCATTACAGCACCGGAGTGCATGAAGGCCTGCTCCGGCCTAGGTGAACCGCCTGTGTGAGCACGGTCCAACCCTAGTCAGGTAAGTATGATCAACCTCATGGAATTCGCCAATAATAGCTACAAATTGGTTTTTCCATTTGGAATTTGCTGTCGCCACGCACGAATTGCATTTGTGTGCGATGTGATTGGCAGAAAGAAGACTTGAAATTCGACCAATCCAATCGCACGCAATCTGACGTCACAACCCTCTGGTCACAAACCTCAACCCACGACGCCACTTCAAGTCCCACCATCCTGCGGGACCGCTCCACAAGAACCCAAGTCACCGGATGAACATGTACCGCGCAACCTGCGAGTCTATACTGCAACGAGAAGGTCGCTTTTCACGTTGGGTCGATACGCGTCTGGCGGCGTCTCGTCGTTCGCCAATAATATAACCCAGGGCCACCGACTCACGTAAAGTTAACAGCAAGGTCCATTTCAAGATCGCTGTGCTGCGCGTCCAACCTAACACCACGTAGCCAGCGATGCCGAGAGACTGTCGGCATCGTTGGCTACTAAGATCAAATTTTGATCTCAGTTGTATTAGCTAAGCAGGCCGATTTCAAGGCGGATCACGGTCGCGGAAACTCGCCCGTCGGTACGACAATCAATGCATCGTTGGTAACAAGGGAATTTATTCCCTTGGTTCGTAAGCAACCTTGACCTTGATGAGGCTCCGCCCTGCGTCGCTTATCGTTTGCAGCGATACTAGCGTGAAACTGCTGGAAAGGGCAGCCAGCACTATTAGACACGCGCCTTCTTTCGGCACCGCGTTGAACCTCGACCACGCCGCACCAGCTGTTTTTCATTGGCCAATCCACTTTGCACTTTGCCATAAAGCAAGATGAGCGACGGACTCTTAGCGGCGTACGCCGCGACGCTCGGCTGGCTCACGCAGCGCGCGCAGTACCGGTTCCCGCGCCTCCAGGTACGCCCTTTCTTGTCCTTGCGTCGTCCATCCTGATACGTACCATGGTGCGCTAGTCGATGGTGTCCTTCTTCATCTCCATGGTGCCCGGCGAGCTTCCGCACCTCTTTTTACTGCTGCACAGTTTGCTGCTCTACTACCGCCGCACGTCACAGCGCTGGGTCCAGCTCCTCCACGCGTACGTCCTCTTTCGGCTCGTGCAGCTTTTTCGCAGCAACGCGGCGGCCAAGCACGCCTTCCAAGAGGCGTGCATCCGCAAGCAGCTGCTGTCGCCCACGGCCGCCGCGACAGCCATTGGCGCGCGCTCGGCGTGGCAATGGCTCCTCATCTGGAGCCCACTCCCCATGAAGCTTGCACTCAAGGGCATGTACCCTGGCGTCGAGTGCCTTGGCACCAAGACCTATGCACATGTCGGCAAGCGCGTGTCGCGGGCAATGCAGATGGACGTGTTCAAACACAAACGCTGCGGCCCCAAGCCGCCCGTCTTCCTCTTCATTCACGGCGGTGGCTGGCTCGTTGGCAACCGGTCGTACGCACCGCAAGCGCTCCTGCACCAGGTCTATCGTGTCGCGGCTGCAAGATCTTATCCTCGATTAGGTGTGCTCGAAAGGCTGGCTCTTTTGCTCGATTGACTACCGCCTCGCGCCGTTTGCTGGCTTTCCCACCAACCTCATTGATTGCAAGCGCGCGATTGCATATCTGCGCACGACGACCGAGCTCGATTTAGATGCGAGGTAGTCGAGGGTTCGCTCCGTTTTTGTTGATGGTTGTGTGCTTCTAGTACGATTGTGGTCGGTGGCGAGTCGGCTGGCGGTCATCTTGCCGCCTTGGTGGCCGTGACCTCGGGCGAAACGTAAGACTATGCGACACGTCCATGAATGGTTGGCATCGATACTACTTTTGTCTAGGCGGTTCCAGCCAGGCTTTGAAGGCGTTGATACGTCTGTCGCGGCGTGCATTGATGCCTACGGGATCCATGACGTCCTCGATCGTCATGGGCACTTTCGAAAGCGGGACAACGCCGACGGCTTCCGACAGTACATTGAGGTCATGCTCATGCAAAAGAAGCTGCGCCCGTCGACCGAAGTATTTTTCAAAGCGGCGTCGTCACTGCAGTACGTCCTCGACCGTACCTCCCCGGTGCCGCCGTTTCTGCTCGTCCACGGCGAATTCGACTCGGTCGTCCCCTTCGAAGACTCGAAAGAGTTTTACGACGCGCTCCAAACCCTGCGCGCCGAGTCGGCGGCGGATCGACCCCGGATCCCCGACGTCTTTATCAAGGTTCCGGCGGCGCAGCACGCGTTCAACATCTTTACGTCGCCCCGGGCCCTCGCGTACGGCGATACCGTCGTCGCGTTCTTAGAAGCCGTTCGCACCCGGCCGCCCTCGCCCAAGCTCTAGTTCGCCATCTCGATACCTACATCTAGCGACTAGAAATGCAGAGTGCGGACTCGATCCGCTGCGCGCCCTAATTCTTCTGCCGAGAGAGCTACAGGACACGGTGTGCGTGTGAGCCTCAGAATCCAGCTGCACAAAATGCAGGGGCAACGACTGCTTGGGTCTGCAGATATGGTATGTAGTCGTATGCAATGAAAAATGACACAAGGAGGCCCTCGGAGCGCGGTAGCTCGTCAAGCCCATGGAGCTGGGGAAAGCAAGCGCACCACGAGCTCCTTCGCGGCGCAGTTTCCACGCCAAATCCATGTCTACGTGATGCCACACCCGTCTCCACCGGCTGATCCAAGAGCTGTCGACCGACATCTCTCTTCTTCACGACAAGCCCTTCCTAGTTCGGTCTTGATTGAGGAAGTCCACAAACAACGGCAGGTGCAGTGTCGAGGCTTTGCTACCCTACCCCTAAGGTTAAGGGTACCGACATAACATGGGAAGAGGGCTTTATTCCCGACAGAATAATGATACCAGGGATGCTACCACATACAGTGCACTACACGTGGATCGGGCGCTGACGAAAGGCAACAATGGCCTTCTCAAAATCGTTTTTTGAAAACTTGTGCTGCTTGAAAAACTGGTAGAGCTCACACTTCTTGGACTCGGCCGAGCGGTGGAAGCGCGTCGCACTACCGCAGTGGGGGCACGGCAGTAGCTCGCGTGGTCGCTTGGTCACTGCCTCTGGCACCGCTTCGACAGCGGCGTCGACATTGATGGCCATCGGCGGCGGCGGCTCGGTCGGGTTCGCGTGGTCCGCCTGCGTCGGCAGGAGGCGCCGCAACACGTCCGGGTACCAATGCGCCAAGAGGTGCTCGTCGAGGCTCGAAAAGCACGTGTCCGTCTTGGCGCGCGGGCACTTGATGTGGCGGAGGCGACGGCTTCGCATGAGCGCGCGCTGGCCATCATTGGCGACGACCGAGGCAAAGTCTTTCGACCACCCATCCGACGAGATGCAGGCGGTGGCGCCGCACGCCGGGCAGCTCAACGTCGTGAGGTCGATGATGTGCGGAAAGAAGGTAAACGGACACCATACAAGCACGTCCGTGCCGCCAAACTGCGCAACGTCCGGGTCCGACGACCGCGTCGGGTGGATCAAGAGCGGGTCTGGCATCGTGTACTTCCAGCTGGGCCACTGCACGCGGTCGAGACCGCCACGCGGACGCAGACAGTACAAACGCGGCAAGGTCGCTTCGCGCTCGGCCCAGATGCGCGCGACAAAGGTCGATGCACTGGCACGCTGCTGCAGCCTACACAAAGGCCACATCTGTGAGACACACGTTGTCGTCGCATGCGAGCGTGTACGAGAGCGCGGGCAATGCGAGCGCGACCGTGGTCTCGGGCAGTGTGGTCTCGGGCGTGAAAGCGGCCACGGGCGGCGGCGCCGTGTCGTCGGTGCCAGCCACGTGGTCTGTTGCCGGCGCGTGAGGGCGGCGGGGCGGGCGCACGTCGACGGCGTTGAACGGATCGTGCGGTGCGAGCGCTGGCTCCCATGGCGCGGGCCGCGCGCGCGGTGGTGATTCGGCATAGATGCTCTGCCGCTGCCTGCAAGGACCACGAGGTCAGACCGGGCAGGCACCGAGGACAACGTACGGGCGGGGCTGCTGCGGGCAGAAGGGCTTGTGGCGCTTGGGGTTGCGGCAGAAGAGGCAGACGTTGACGCCTTCGGGCGTTGTCAAGCGCGGTCCTCGGCGGCCAGAGTGGGTCGTCGTGCTGGCGCTCATGCTCCTCCCGGTCTGTGACTTGATCGTTGTATGCACTGTTGAGCTCGCAACGGCGAATTAAATCCGAGAGTTTCTGTCTTTTGCACCAATCAAACGCCGATTATATATTGCATTCTAATGTGGTCTTTTCGAGCACTGTATTTCAATGGAACCACAATGTCCAAGTCGGGTCTACGCAAGGGATACCAGCACATCTGCATTTACACCCAATGTCACAAAGGCACATGATGCAACTGAAGTCACCGTGCGCTGCTACGGACCAACAAGTGCATGCAGGTATACTTGTTGCAATTGCAGCGTCGTGGATGGTATCTAATGCTTTCTAATGTTTTCTTCGAAATGTGTGAGTGCTGGTCTGGAACCTCCCAATGACGGTCATTAGCAGCCGTTGTGCATCCGAGAAGCAATCCAGGAAATGACCCGGAAGCGCGCCGCCCCCATGCCCGACCGCCGCCGCCCTGCACCCAAGCGACAGACGGCGGATCCCACGACTCAGTGGCTCTCGCAGCTGCTGGACCCTGCAGTCGCGCAGCTGGAGCTGCGGGCAATGGGCTTGCCTGCGTCGCTTTCGGTTCGCCTCGACGCGATCGCAGCCGCCCGCCACGCGCTTGTGCAGTGGACGCACGCCATTGCCTTGGGCAAGGCGCTTACAACGATCGAGCTGCGCGCCTATGCGCTGGCCTTCTACGGCGTCTTGCCGTGTCTGGCGCCGTGCGATGCGACCGCGCCTGTCCCGAGCTGCCTCTTACCGCTCGAGCCGCTGCACGACGCCGTCGCACTACTCCACAGCCTGTGCCTGACGCAGTCGCTCGCCTCGACGAAGCGCCTCTATGGACAGCTGCAGCTGCTCTCATCACGGACCAACGCGGGCTGCCAACGTCTCCTCGAGTGTGCGCGGTCAACCCGAGGGATCTACGCTGGCGTGCGCACCAAGCACGTCTGGGCTATCCAGCCCACCGCAGTGGACAAGACGATTGGGAACCACCAGCTGCTTTTTTACGGGGCGCGGGGCAGTGCGGCCTCCGCCATACTCGCCCAGGGCCTGCGCATCGATGCGACATCCGACGGCCGCCACCTGCGCTATGGACGCGGCGTGTACTTGAGCAACTCGATGGAAGATGCGATGACACACATGGGCGACGGCGTCGGCGTCGGCTGCGTCTTTGTCGTCCAAGCGGCTCTGGGGGCGGTGCACACGATCGTTGACGGCCCGACGCCGCAGTGGCAGTCGGCGCCCGACGGTTATGACGCGGTGCGGGTGCCCGGTGCATGGACGCCGGCGTCGTCGCGGTGCATCGTTGACGGCCTCTCGATGGCCCACGGTCCACTCGTGCGCCAAGAGACGCCGTTGCTGCAGCGTCATGACACGTACGTTGTGTACCGCGAGACTCAAGTCCAGCTGCGCTATGCCATCACCTTTCAAGGTATCGACGACGACGACGACGACGACGAGTAGCGTCACCTCCTTGTGCTATCTATTGCACTCGAGAAAACAAAGTAAATTTGTCGTTCGTTCGTCCACGTCAAAGCAAACGAGCAAACGAGCGAGCGAGCAAACGAGCGAGCGAGCAAACGAGCGACGGAGCGCTCTTCTACCATTGTGAGCTTGACGTCGGCGCCAGTTCCCGTGCTGCCACGACGGTCCTCGATTGTCCAACATGCCACTGACAATGTATTTTCGATCGTGCTATGTGACAAGTGATTCCCCGACAACAAAAAGACAATTCGTGATGCCTTATACACGATGGACGTGCAAGCCACTAGGCGACCGGCAGCGTCCATGGCAAGCGGCATGGCGAGAGGAAGTAGCCGAGCGAGTACGCGATGCGGTGCGCCTTGCAGTGCGTTTGTATCGCCTCGAGGTCGTTGGGCTGCGCATGGGTGCTCTCCAACTCCATGCGCATCTGCGACGTGGCGCCAAGAGCGGTCAAGAGACTCAGACGCGCTGGAAGATGCAGCGAGTCGTCGTCGCCGCGGACCTCCAGCTGCACAGGCTGCGTATTGCGCGTCTGCCCCATGGCGGTTGCAAGCAGCATGGCCGTCGTATTCGTCAATGAGAGGCGCACGATGCACATTCTTTTCTGGCGACTCAGCCAGCGGGGCAGCGCCATGAAGAGGGCTTCGAGCTGGTCGGCAGGCAAATGCGAGTGAACCAAATCGAGTTTGGCAAGATTTGTCGAGGCGCCAAGCAACGCAGCAACGCCGGTGATAGCGTCGTTTGTCATCTCCGCATAGACCAGTTGGAGGTATCGGAGCGCGGGCAGCAGCGGAAAGCTCGTGATCACGACACCGGAAAGCTTGAGCGTCCTCAAAGTTGGCGGCAGGACAGCAAGGACACGCGTCACGTCGCGGTATTCGGTAAAATCAAGATTCAAGCGGTCGACATTCGAGCACGCAAGCTTGGCGGCGAGAGTCTCCACATCGTCCCAGTCTTCCCCGAGCATCAGCGTCAAGTTGCGCAGTTGGCGCGGTAGCGGTCGAGACAAGCGATCGACAAACTCGCTTCCGAGGTTGGATGAGTCCCAGAGCTTGATCGTGTGCAACGTTGTGGATGCGAGCAGTGCTTGGGCCAAAGCCTTGGCGGCGTCCGCCGAAAAGCTCAAGCCATCGAGCCGGAGTCGCCGCGACGATGGTCTCGCGATCCACGCCAAGAGGCCCGTGCAGTATTGCATGTCGAAAATGAACAAAGGGAAGCGCGAATAGATGCGCAAATGGGCGACGCGCGTGTTGGAGTCGCCGATGGCCGATAGGATCTCGTCCACCTGCTCCTCATCGATGACTTCGCTCCAGTTGATCATGAGCGTCTCGAGCCGCGGACAAAGGCTGAGGTCATACAGCAGCGGGGCGTACCCCAATTTGTACGCGGCGGAGACGGTAAGCTCGACAACGCTCGATGCCCACGTATCAAGCTCGTATTCGAGATCGACGAATTGGCAGCCCCACCAGCTGTACACGATTTCGGCGCGGATGGCGGTCGATGGCAAAAGCCGCACGCGCTGGCAAAAGTCGACGATCCCAGCCTTATCGCCGATCTGCAGCTTGCGGAACAATGGAAATGCCTTGATCGCTGTCGCTTCGTCCTTCCTAGCCAAGAAGTACACTCGCGTTGTCGGCCATAGGAGGGCGCTGTCGTCTTGTGCGAGGAGCGTCCTGAGCGCGTCGAGGGCCTCGTCGCGGCCGTCGGCAGGCACAGCGTGAAGAAGGCCAGCACGTCAATGGCCTCGTCCAAGCAGTGGACCACCTGCAGGACGATCGGCGGCTGCAGCCATGTCATCGCTTGCCTTTTGCTGGTGTGTCTCCATCCGGCCAAGCCATTGGCTATATATCGAGTTTTATCGACCAATGATGCTGCGTATCATTGGTTGAAGCCAATCAAATCGCGTATTTCATGTAAGTGCGTACATGACAGTCCTCTTAAGTGCGGTCACAACCCATGACAGGATAGTAAATCAAAGTATTTTGACTTCAACTACAACCAACACCGCACTTGACTGCTATCCTCGCAATGCTCCCGTTAGGTGCGACTGCAGAAGCGCGCGAAGCAAGCGACGACCACAGTTTGACCTGACAAAAGTCTGCAGCCAAGGTCGAGCGTTGATTTTAGTGCGGGCCAACGCGCAGTCGTCACGATGTTATACCTAGTTAACGTTTTGCGTTTATGGACAACACAAAAAAGTGTATTTTTCCCTGCCAGCTTACCCGTACCACCCCGGTACGCGACCTGTTTTCGGAATCCTCCATGACCAAAGAGGACACACTGGTCGAGTTTCTGGAGCTTTGGTCGCGTCGGCAAGGTAGCCATGATGGACGAGATAGCATGCGACGCATCAAAACGAAGATCCAAGGTGTGGATGGATGGTCGTAAGCTTGGCTGCAAGTGTCGGTGCATCAACCCCAAGTGGACCCGAATCCGAGCCGTACGTTGCGCACATGTCGCGGCAGCGCTGGGAAATAGAATCAAGAACGCGTCGAGTGCACACAAGGCATCAAAGAGCAAATACAGAAAACGTGTCGTTCGTTCAACCCTAACCGCAGACGCACAGAAGGCTCGCCCGTGGCGACTGATGCGGAGGTTGGGAGGGTACGAGCATTCTCTCACGCCTTCATAAGGAGTACAAAAAAGACCTCGTACATGGAGAGAGACCATCGTACAAGTATTACTACTAGGGTTCTCCACGGTTCGAGCCGATGGAACGGTGGCTCCAGTCATTTATGATCGGCAACCACCGTAGCATACATACTACAAGATTAAACGTACCTTTGGTAATATTAGTAATCATTCTCGAAATGTCGGACGAGGAGGTCGAGATCGTGGAACCAAACCGTGCCCAGCAGCGGCCAAGTCGGGGAAGGCCAAGGCGGCGAAGAAGTCATGGACTCTGGACTACATGAACCTCCTTCCTGACGAGAAGCGCGGCTGCAAGAAGTGTCCAACAACGTTTGCGGCGTCCACGTCCACGGGCACCCTCGCCAAGCACTTGAGGGTCTTCCATGGCATCACGCAGGACACGGTCGCTCCGTCATCGGTGGCGACCCAGAGGTCCATCACCGACCACCTCCCTTTGGCGGCGAAGCTCAAGTATGACTCGGCCATCGCCACGTACGTCGTCTCAGAGGTTCTCCCGTTGGTGCACGTCGCCTCGCTCGGCCTCCGCTCGTTGGTGAGCTATGGACTACCTCTCAATCCCGGCCACGTCGGTGCCGAGCGAGCGAGCCAACTCTGCGGCAAAGCGCGTCTTTGAAGGACGAGACAACCTTGGCGACAACATGTTCAAGGCGCAAATGTGCGCACAGTCGTGGCTGCAGCTTGCGAAGGCGTTGGACTTCCCGCTCCCAGCCGACTACCGGTACCTACAAGCACTCGACGACGTAAAGTCGCGCGTGGACCTCTTGGAGATGGCCAAAGAAAACCCCGTCATCCAGTACTACCTTGATTGCGATTTTAAGAGCGAATAAAGTACCGGGGTTGACTAGCGAATACAAGTTTTGAGTCTCTGAACACTTTCAACTCGGGATCCTTCGGCTCCACGGTTCTCCACGGTTCGGCTCGGTTCGGTCCAGCTCCAGAGGCCACCGGTTCTGGTTCCATTTTTCGAGCCGGCTCCAAGCCGAACCGAGCCGAGCCGAACCGTGGAGAACCCTAATTACTACACAGCATACCAATACCGATGGTCACAACACTCCACGACCACGTCCATAAAATCAAATTTAATTTTCGTATCCCTACTGGTTGCGGCGTTGACGCTTGGCCGGGCGATTGGTCGTGGGTGGCAGCATCGCGTGCATGGCCTGTAGCACGTCGTGGGCTTCCTTGTAGTCGCGCACGGCCTGCGCCTTGTCCTTGTAGAGCGCGAGGCCGCCGTTCATGGGATACCGGACCTCAATGTCTTGAAACGGGTCGCGGCGCTCGATAAGGCCGTGGAAATGAAGGCACGTGTGGCCGTCTGGGATCTGGAAGATGCCTTGGCTCGGGTCTCTCGCAAAGGCGAGCACCGAACTGCACTGCGCACACGCGCAGGGCAAGTTGAACGACGTGAGCGCCCACGACGGCGGACGCGGGCGTGGCAGCGTGGCCACAAAACCATCTAGCACCGGCACGACGGCGACGACCACGGGCCGCATCACATCGCGGGACGTGGCCTTGAGAAACCACTTGGCCACGACGTCCATGGCCACGGTCATGCGCTTCTCGTGGGGTACCGTGGCCCAGAAAGCAAGTACTGCGTCCACAATCGCTGGGCCGTGGGAACTGCCGTGCCCGAGCTTATCGAGAGCGTTCCATGCATCGACGATCGCGTCGTGCAGGGCTTCCGGGTCGTACGGCGTAGCATCAAATGGTAGCTCACAGACCGTGGCCACGGCGCGCACAATATTATCGGCCATCGCCGTCGCGGTCGATGGAGGCACGGAAGAGTGCGTGAGAAAGCTCTGGAGCGTCGAGAGCACGATCGAGGGGGCGGCGACGTCCACGAATTGCTGCAGCGCCGACGGAAACGACGCCGTGTCGACGAGGAGTGCCAAACAATACGCCCATGCGCTCGGATCGTGCTCGTTGGTGGACTTTTTGCGGCCAAGCGTCGACGCGACCGTCGTTTCCACCAGCGTCAAGTACGGCTGCAACGCCGCTGCGGGCAGCTCGTCTTGAAGGCGCACGACAGCCGCGGCAATGGCATCGATCGGATCAAACGTCGTCGGAAGGATCGTTGTCACGAGCGTGGAGAGCTCCACGGGCTTGGCAAACGACGCGATCGTTTGAAGAATCCCGACGGGGAGGCGGTCGCCGAGAAAGGCGCCGGCCCCGTCGGATGTGACCAAGTCGGATGCGACATGGGTCTCGATGCGAAGAAGGTCCACCAGCAGATCGACCTCGTCGTCGCCGAGGCAGTCATCTTCTTGGAGCTGGACGAGCTGGGCGAGCAGCGTAAAGTAGCAGCCTTGGATGCACTCGTACATGAACGGCTGTGCGATCGGCAGCAGCGACGTGATGAGCGCCGCGCCCGAGACGAGGTCCTTGAGCTCGGCCGACGGCTTGGACAAGAGCATCTGCAGCGACAAATACAACGGCTCCCAGCCCACGCTTTGGATCATATCGACGATAAGCGCGCGGAGGGCGTCGCCTGCAAATGTGAAATCCACGAGGTCCATCGCGTGCCCGACAACGTTTTGAAGAAGTTGCACGTTGCCAAAGCGAAGGAGCAGTCGACCGAGCGCGACGACGTCAGGCATGTTGCGGTTGTCGTGGAGCAGCCCGACGTCCGCGGCGCGACCGACCATGTCGACGACGGCGTTCGCGAACGCCAGCACCGAGGCGTAGCCGTAGAGGTCCTTGGAAGTGCCCGACACGAGCGCGCCGAGCTGCGCGAGGGCCGCGCGAAAGCCGAGCAAGCGGAGCCGGTGGTGGACGGGCCAAAACACAATCAGCGGCGTCGGCGCGCTGGGCGAGATGAACACGCCCAGCGGCGCCGTGCGCTTGAGGCGACGCAATACAGGCTTGTGGAGGAGCATGTCGTGAAAGACTTTTGGAAGCGTAGGCGACGATGGCGGAAAAACGTACTCGATGATGTGCTGGGGCCGGGCATCGTCGTACATGGCCGCGAGGGGGTCTTCGTCGTCGTCTTCACTGTCGCCGTCCTCATCGTCTTCGTCCTCGTCGCCGTCATCGTTCGGGTCATCAATGTCATCGTCGTTCGACATGTCGTCGTCCGCGATGGCGTCGTCGTCGTCGTCGTCGTTACCGTCCTCGCTGTCGTCGTCGTCGTCGTCCTCGTCCTCGCCGTCGCTCTCGTCGTCCTCATCGTCGTCATGTTCGTCGCCGAAGAGCCCTGCGCCGTGGAGCCCGTGGCCCTCCAAGAGGTTGAGGATTGCATCGCGGTCGTGGGCCGAAAAGTCGCTGTTGTTGTTGTTGTTGCTATCGGTGCGGTGGCGACCCGGCGCTGGCTCGGGCTCCTTGGCAAATACAAGCGCCACGTCGACGCAGTCGGCCGCCAAGAGACGCTCGATGAGTTGCATGTCGCGGACCGGGAGCTCGTCAAAGTCGAGGCCATCGTCGTCGTCGTAGTGGTCGCACAGCGGCACGGCATAGAGCGAATGGGCTTGGCGTGTCGGCGTCATGAGCGCCTGCAGCTCGGCGTACTGCGCCGCGAGGCTCATCGGGCGACTCCGGTGCAATTGCGTCGGGTCGTTGTAGACGAGATCGAAGACAAGCATGACGCGTGTGCCACGCGTGATCGGCGTCTTCGCAACGGTGCAGTCGTTGTAGTAGGCAAAGTAGCTCGTCGCCTCGAGCGTGCTCGTTGTAGTTACGGTGTCGAGCGTCGCGGCCACGTCGCCGCCCCCTGCCACGCTGGACGAGTGGACCACCAGCAGCGTGGCAAACGACCCCTCCGCACGCGCCAGCGGCGTCGTCGGTGGCGTGACGTCGGCGCGCTCGATCGCAATGTGCGAGAGCACGACGTGGAAGGGACCGGACGGCTTGAGCGCAGCGTTCACGGCTCTGCGCATGTCCTCTTTCTCGTACGCCTCGTAGTACATGTCGGAGCGGAACTTGAACTTGTCCGTGGGCAGCACGCCGGTGGGGTAGACGGCCAAGATGGCGCCGACGTCCGAGGCGGCAGCGTCCGGCACGCCATCGATGCAGAGGCGCAGGTCGACGCCATGGATGAGGAGGCCGTCGGTGGCGGCCACCGACCGGAGCAGCGCGACGACGTTGTCGAGCTTGGACTGCATTTGGGAGTGCACAAAACCGGATGATGGATGGTGTATCCGGATAACGGCCGAAAGAAGATCGCAACTCAGATCTCAGACCGAACCGCCAACCTCGACCTGAACCTCGATGCTGGCAGCTCGTCGTACCCACCGACACGAAGGGTTGCAAGGATGCGCCTTTAAAAACACGCAATTTCGTCAGCCGCACGCAACGTTACCGGTTGGCACACCGTCGCAAGGACGTGGTTGGTTGCACCATCGCGACGGTCACCTTTTGTGCCACTGCTTCCTGCTCCACTCTCCGCCAACGTGGCGAATTTTGGCTCCAAACGGCTACTAGGCTGCCGTAGCAGCACTTACTGCAGCCCTGTGCATATATGGATTTGGGCACCCAGTGGTAACCGATAGCCACCACTGTGTCGCTGCGGTGTCACAAGGACCGGTACTTGCTTCGAGGCCACTTTCGATGGAGGTCGGGTCGCCGGCTCGCACGAGGGTGCAGGAATGTGATTGTCAGCACCCAAAATCTTGGCGGGTTACGAAGCGCACGGTCGCATCCATCCTCGTCGAGAGCAGTCCATGTACCAAAAATCCAATTTCCTCAATCAAGACCGAACTACTTGGGGGCAACAACCGTGTTGGTGTCCGCCATGCCTGTGGTGGGCGAGGCGGGTTAGTTGTTTGACTGACACTACCAAATTGGAAATGGCTTGAGCTCGCTTGCTCTGCGCCTCTTGGCTTTTGTTCGAACTTGTAACTGGTCTTCTAGATCGCTCGTCCTTGTGCGGAAAACCTCTTCCACTGCTTGGAAACGGCCCTTCCTCAATCAAGACCGAACTACTTGGGGGCAACAACCGTGTTGGTGTCCGCCATGCCTGTGGTGGGCGAGGCGGTCCCCCTAAAGATGACGCCACGCGGTTGGGACCGTCCGGGTTGTGAGGTCGGCGATTGTCTGTTCGTCGATTCGGGCGTACTTCTTGTAGGCGTCCGACGACCACCTGCCGAACTTCTGGATCGCAAGGTCTGGTACGCCGCCGCGAAATAAGGCTGTGGCGCCGCCGCTTCGTAGAGAGTGCGTCGAGTAGTGGCTTGGGTCTTCTTGACATGCCGCCGCAGCTTGTTTGATCTCGCTTGACACCGCTGCGCATGATAATGTCTCGGTCGTCGAGATTGAGCATAGCTTGGTGCTCGTTGTGAAGTTGTTGGCCTTTGCGTGCTGCATGAGGGTGAGCGCTGCCGCCACCGGGCACAGCCATGCTGCGGGCGACGGGCTTATCCGTAGATGCACGCCTCGGCCTGCTTGGTCGGTCTTGGAGCCTCGGATGTGGAATTGGACCACCTTGATGTCTTCTTGGTACTTGGCCGGTTGGTCCTTGGCGTCCAGAAACTGCACGTCGCCGACCTCGACTGCATAGCTTGCCGTTTTTCCGTCGATGGCTAGGTATTCGGACCTGCGCCAAAGAAGGCAGAAAGCCAAGACCGTAGAGCACCACAAGACGCGCGACCTTGGGGCGTTGAGGTCGAGGTTGCGTCGCATCGTTGCGAGCATGTTGAATGTGACAGGGCGCTTTTGTTGGTCGATCGTGCGTGATCTGGATAGACCGCGTAGGAAGATTGCGCCACCCGCGGAGCACCGCACTTCGAAGCCTCGTGCGCACTTGTGGTACCAGCTGACGATTGCCAGCTTGCCTCGGATCGTGCTTGCGCAATTTGGAGCGTCGGGCCTGTGGAAGAGATCACTTGCGAATGCGCGTAGTGCTGCGTCTTGTTCGACTGAAGCGCTGGAAAGCTATTGGCTGAGGCCGTCACGGGAGCGGAATGCTGTCCACTCGCGCCATACTTGTGCGTATCTTGTCCGAGAGCTGATAGCCAAGGCTGCAATGTGTTCAGGTCGAACGTCTGGTACATATGCCGCATGTGTGATGGGATTGGCGTCTCTGACCATGACGCCGTTTCGTTCTCCCACATTGACTTGAACGGCTCGACCGAGGCGCGAGAGCCTGCGTCGGCCAGCGTGTTGTTGCATCCTGGAATGTGGCGCGCCGAGACGTGGAGGCGGTGTACGGCTTGTGCTACAGCGATGTGCCGGTTGATGTTGGCGCCGTATCGGTTGCCGCTGTACAACGACACGGACCACGCGAGCGCTGTGGTGTTGTCGGTGAGCGCTTCGATGTGTGCTGTTGAGGTGCCGGTTGGGTCCTTGAGGTCTTCGCCCCACAAGCACACCGCCAGACCAATGGCCAAGTGTTCCCGGATGTTAATGGAGAAATCGTCGCCATCTGACGTGCTGCCTTCGTTCTGATTGGTTGGCCGACGCTTGGGTCCTGCCATCTTGATCAGTTGTTGTTCTTCGGCGTCGAACACGAGCCGGATAAACCGGCGCCGTTGCCGGTCGATGATGGCGATGCCCGTGTCGCTGGCATCCATCTCCAGCGAGTAGCTTGGCCGGGAAGAGTTGTCGAAGACGGACGTGGGGACGCGCTCAAAGTGCGCCACCGAAAGGATCGCGTCCAGGACGTCAAGATCTGCCCGGGCAGCTGGCTGGAGAGATCGTGCGCCAAACCGCGGGAGTGCTCGGTAAAAACTGTGTAGTGCTTGGTAGAACGCCCTTGCGGCTGGCGCGCAGAGACACACGTGACGAAGCGAGCCCAGTAGCCGCTCCATATCGAGTCGCGTGGCTCGTCCATGGTCACGGACGCTCCGCACTCGTGATTGGGCGCGCGCTGTCTTGGCGGCAGGCATGGAGACGACGCCTAGCTCGAGGTTCCACACCAGCCCGAGTGCGTGGAATTCGGTCGCCCAAGGTTGAAACTTCTTCTCATTGACGGCATCGGGCCCCAAAGTAGCGAGCATGGCGATACGCAGCGCAGATTCGGCTTGTTGGAGCCGTGACTCGGACTCGATCTCGATGAGGATGAAGTCGTCGATGTAGTTGAAACACCAAAAGGGAAGTGTGTCCTGGCACGTGTCGGGGTTGATGCTGTTGGGTGACTCACCTTGTACTAGCCACGAGATCGCGTTGCCGACCACGCAGTACACGTTGGGAGAGCCGCACCAACCAAAAGGTGCCGACAGGTCCATGCCGAGAAGATGTTTGTCCGGTAGCGATAGCCCAAAATGACTGCTGTCAGCCGAGTAACTCCGAAGGTGACGGTACGCCGCGGCTACGTCGCCCGACATACCTTTGAGGACCGCGCCTGGTGGTGCCGTTGCACGTAGCCATGTAATGCGTGCCGCGACGGTTGCAATGCGTGGCCATTCCACTAGTGGGAGGTCGGCCTTGCGAGTGTGCGAGTTGATCGATGCGCCGAGTGGGAAAGACAGATCGTGGATGAGACGGCCGTCGACCGACAGAGGTTGGTGATTTTTTTCCACTAGACCGAGCGGGCTGTAGAACACGGCGTTGGCCCATAGTGCCTGCACGGACTCGTCGACAAAGAGGTATTGCCAGGCTGCCTGTCCTTCTGCCAGTCGTCGCTGTAACGTGGTCGGGTGGCGGCAGGCAGACCCATGGTTGTCTGGCGGCCCAGCGTCCTGTACTAGAATCTCGTCTGTCCACGGGCAGCGGAAACCTTCCGTGGCGATTCTCACAATGGTGTCTCGGTCCGTGTGTCCTGCGAAGAGTGCGTGGAGCTCGGCGGGAAACATTGCCTTATTGGGACGATAGTCGGCGGGCGACTGCCCGCGCACCAGTTCGACCAAGGCCCGTGGAGAGAGGTTGGCCGCCACCGTGAGGCGAGACAGAGCTGATACCCAAGGCGCGTTGATACTTGTACTGGATGCGGGCACCGGTGGTGGCGCCGAGATGCCGTGTGCGCGCATCTTGAGCTCCAGGCGCAGACGCACCTCGTGGTTGGCCTGGGCGAGCCTGGTAGCAAGCCTGGCTTGGAGGTCGGTCACTGTGTGCGACGTGATGACGAACGGCGTCCGTAGCATGGCCCGCTTGGTGTCGAGTGCGGCGACTTGCCATTGACCGACGCTGCCCACTTGCCGGTTGGCCGATGTTGCCGCGCGAGCCGCGGCCCGAGCTGGTGGTTTCGTGCCTAAGGAAGGGTTGACAAACCGGGACGCGTTGAACCCGGCCGTGTCCGAAGACGTGTGTCTGAACCGAGTGGCGACAAACTCGCCCGCCTCGGCGAAAGCCGGAGGACGAGCCGCGCGTGCCCCGGCCGTGTCCGAAGACGTGTGTCTAAACCGAGTGGCGACAAACTCGCCTGCATCGTCCGATGCATGAGGACGAGCCGCGCGTGCCCCGGCCGCGTCCGAAGATGCGTCCATAAACCGAGTTGTAGTTGATCGTGAAGTTGCGGCCACGGTGCCGGCGCCGAGGCCGGGCGGGGATGGATCGAAAGCGCGGTTTGGCCAAGGCGGGACGCGCAAGTACCCGCCCTGGCCGCTTCACAGTGACAGATCCGCGCGCAGCCCGCCCCACCGCGTCGTCACGTACATCTTCACGGCGTCGGCGAGCGGCACCGGAGTGTTGTGACTGCGCAACCGCCCGTCGAACCCAGTGCACTTGTTGTCCTTGACCGGGTTGGTGCATGGGAGCAGCGACAAATGGCGTAGGCAGATCGGGAGACCGCCGTCTTTTGTGTAGCGCGGCCAGAACGTCGGGTGGGATTGGATTGGCTGAGGCTGGAGTGCGGCTACCACCTGCGCCGCGACCGTGCGTGGCCTTTTGCTTGCCGCCATGTGGCTTGACGCCCTTCGTTGGATCGGGATTGCCGGACTGGGGAGCTGAATCGCGTGGCGCGTGCTTGAGCACCCGAAGGAAAAGTTTTTGATACGCAGGGCCTTCTGTGGCGAATGTTGCCGGAAAGCTCGAGATCGCCGCGATGACGCTGGCGTTACCATTTGCTGCCGTTGTGAGGAGGGTGCCGAAAGCCGCGAGCCGTTCGTTGAACCACTGTAGCACTATCTGCGTCGCGCTGTCTGGAAAATTGTCGGAGTCGTCGAGAAGTTCCAAAGCCAGGGCGAGCGCGGCCTCCACCACAGCCACAAGGATGGCGGAACCGAATGTGTTGGCGTAGGCGAGCAGGGCGTGCAACGCGGCACGGATATTGTCGATGGTGCAAAAATTGTGTCGTGGCTTCGGTGGGGTCAGGCTGCCGGGGAAGTGACTCAAGCTGACGCGCGCATCGTCGTTCCACACACTGCGGAGGTTCTTGGACAACGGGAAAAATGCGCCAAGGATAGCATGCCGGAGCCGAACCGCCAGTCGAATAGATAGGCGAGGGTACCGGGATGTGGAGGGAACCGGATCGCTTCGCACCCGGCGACGCTTGCGAGGAACTCCATAGGTAACGCCGCCTGGTGTTGCGCGTTGGTAATCCACCAATGTACCTCGGCCTGGGTTGGTGAGACCCTGAGCGCGCTTTTTGAGTGTTGCGGGCCCGACGCGACCTCGGTATATTGAGCGAGCGTTCGGGTGGCAGCGGCGCGGTTTCGAGCGCGATGCTCGCGCTGGTACTCTGCTGCGAACTCGACGACGGAAGGCGCAATGCCGCCGAAGCTCGGGCTGCCCGCGTAGCTGACGACCTGGGCACCTGCCAGTGTTGGAATCGATACGCTCTGAGTGCCAGAGAAATGCCCCGCTTGGTGCCACGCTGTGTTGTGCGCCATGTCACTAGCATCCGTGTTGGCTGTCGCTGTCGCGCCCGCCACGCTGGACAGGAACTGGTTGATTAGTGATGTACCCGTCCCCTCGCGAGGAGGAGGAACGAAGACTGGCTGCGGGCCCGCCGCGTGCTCCGCTGAGGGGGCGACCGGCATAGGCGACTGCACGGTGGTCGCGGCCTCGGTGTCGTCCAGCAGCGGCGACGAGTCGATGCCGAGGTCGGAAGGGTCGTGGCAGAATGACTCGCCGAGCTCCATGATATTGGGGTCGTTGGCGCCGCCGTCAGCGTGAAAGGCAAAATCGACGATGTGTTGGACGCACGGGTTGACCAAGATCCCCGAGCGCGGGTCGCAGACGATGCGTCGCATCGCACCCAAATTGACGGCGTTGGAGACGTCGTATCCGGCCAGGATGGCGGCAATGTCGCGTGACGGAGCCTCAAGAGCCGTTAGCGGGCGGATACGGTGCCAGATGCGCTGGTGGCACTCCAGGAGCGCTTCCGTGGTGAGGCCCGTAGCGCTGCGCGTTGCGTCGTCACCCACAGCAGACCAGTCGGTGTCCCACAACAGTGCTGCCACGACTGGAAGGACGAGGGCGACGGCGTCCTGACTCATCGTGAGCCGACCACGGTGGGTCCTGACCTGGATCGATCGTGACGCTTGGTCGGCGCGGCACACCTGCCCGTGCACCCAGTTGTCCCCGACGCGGGCGGCGACGAAACGCCGCATGAGTCGGTGGGTGCCCGCGTCACGTTCCGCGGCGGTGACGACCGGAAACTGATCGTTGCTCGCAGCGACCGTAAGCGACAGAGGTTCGGGAATGGACTCGTCAGGGGTGACGTCAATCACCAAACGACGTCTCACGCGGCGTACCGTGCCATAGGCCACCGTGGAGATGTCGTCTGCGAGGAGGGCCACGCTCTCTGGGTAAATGCGGACGATGTCGCCGGGGGAAAGCATGGTGCGTATGGAAACTTAGTTGTTTGACTGACACTACCAAATTGGAAATGGCTTGAGCTCGCTTGCTCTGCGCCTCTTGGCTTTTGTTCGAACTTGTAACTGGTCTTCTAGATCGCTCGTCCTTGTGCGGAAAACCTCTTCCACTGCTTGGAAACGGCCCGTTTCAAAGTTTAGATCACAGGTGAAATGCACACCGCGAAAAAAATGACAATATGTGCACAAGTGACGGGCCCACTCGCGTGTCCTACGGCAGCAGACGACGGAGCACGTCGACGTACGGCCGAGCGTCACCGGACGTCGACTCGTTGAGAAACGCGCGCCACGGAACCAACGCCAGCGGCTCGTTCAGGAGTCCTCGGACCGCCGGTGCCACGACGTTGGCTGGCTCAAAGAGAGCCGAGCGACCCGCCATGAGCTCGAGGACGCCGCCCGGACCTAGGACGACTGTGAGATAACCGACGAGACGTGTGCTCTCGATCCTTACGCAGTGCTTTCTGGTTCTGCGTGCTACAGAGGTACCCCTCGATGCGGAGTATGTCTTGCAGCAGCGCCGTTGCAATGCCATTGCAGCTCCGAAACTCGACCATGCATGTCATGTGTTGCAGCAGTGGGCGGTATGCCGCAGCGATCAAGTCGCTTATATGTGGCTGGTCGAGGGGCACGCGCCGGCGCCTTCTTCAGAAAGGCCACCATCGCCGACTGAAATGGCGCCGGCCCAAATTAGCATTTTGAGAAGCATACAGTTGGTGCACGTGAAGCGAGTTGACGATGCGCGTGACCAAGTCGACGTTGCCGAAGTCAAAGAGCATCGCCAACAAGTGTGTCACGTCCATCGCTTCGGGCGTCTCGAAGAGCTCGTCGTTCGTTCTTCGTCCGAATACAGTAAATTAATATAACAATGACGTGGGAGGGGCCGTCTGGTAGTCCCCAATCAGCGCTGCGATTCGCACTACCACACGCGTCGGTTCACGTCACCTTCCTCTGGATCGCCTTCGGTTTCCTCTGGATCGCCTTCGCTTTCCTCATGATCGGCTTTGATTCGTCCACTCTGCCCTCGACTAAACTTTCGTACTACAAATTCGAAGAAGAAAATGCTGAGATGCAGTGGATGCAGTGGAGGCAGTGGATGCGCTGGTATGACCATACTCGTCGGAGCGTTTCAAATACGAAGCTTTGTATTACCACAACGACATCGCGTGGTCGCAGTTGAACGGTTGGGTTGATGGTCAGTAGTGCGGATCTACGCACGAAAAGCGTTCGTGCCAGGGACGAGCAGATGCGATACCGAGTGTGCTTGACGCAGAAAGTCTGATATTCTTGTTGCACGTCGTAGTCTCTATTGAATCGACAATCCCTTCTTAAAACACATCTTGTAGCCACGAGGAAGAAGCCAATGACATGTATTTTCTTGTCGAGATGGCCGGTATTATGGAGTCGCTTGGTACGCTGTTTTCCGTCGTTCGAAGCTCCTATCCACACACGCTTCGCCCGATACACTCTATCATATCAGCAGTCCTACGAGCTCGTTCCATCGACTGGGTCACGCAGCCGTCGCGTGGCAGTTTGTTTCGTATTTGGGCAGATCGTTGTTTCGTCGCCGCGCCGAAATACGCATAACGACAACAGCTGCTTCACCCATCTGTACGGGTACAGCTGCTGGTACACTGTATAAGAGTAGCCAAGCTGCAAATGGCACTCAAATGACGTCATTCTCCAATCCACCATGGGCTGTGACAAGCGACAACGCCGCGCCGCGTCGGGCGGGCTCATCCCGGCCATGACGCTTGAGATCGCGCACTACCTGGACGACCCGGAGGACGTCGTCCGCTTCTTACGCGCGCTGCCATCGCACGTGCGCGGCGAAGAGCTCTCTGCGCTCTTCGAGCTGCTCGTGCGGGGCGACCACCACAGCGCGCTCTGGCCCGTCTTGCACCTCGACGACCTCGACGGCGTGTGCATGGCGACGCTCACGCGCGCACTCCCGGCCTTTCACACGATCTACCTCTTTGAAGGCGCGAAGTGGGCCCTCTGCCGCAATACGATGCTGCCACCCACGACGCACGTGTACGCCTGGCTCGACGACGCCTACCGCGTCAGCGACAACGTGTGCAATTGGGCCCGCAACGTGGTCGCCTTGAGCATCGAGACGCCCGAGTTTCTCAAGGATCCGACTTTGCTCGGGCGCGCGCTCTCCGCCTGCACCAACCTTCGCGCATTGACGCTGCAGTGGCAAAACGTCGATCAGATGCTGCTGGACCAGACACTGGCCGTCGTGGTCTCGACGCGCCCCGAGCTTGCGAGTCTGCACCTCAAGGCGGAAAATACCCCACTGCTTGAGGACGCTACGAGTTTGGTGCGCTGGCTGCGCCTTCCCAACGCAACGACGTTCAAGCTCACGCGTCTCGACTTGGTCGGTCCCGCCGCCGCGACGCTGGCAACGGCGCTGCTTGCGTCCCCAACACTGACAAAGATCAAGCTCGAGCATGCGCCGTGCCTTGCGCGGCTGCTCCTCGACCCGGCACTGCCGCCGCTCCCCCGCCAACTGCACAAGCTCACGCTGCGCTACCGAGGTCTCTCAGCAAGTGTGCCGGCGATCGCGGCCAAGGTCGCATCGTCCCGTCTCACGAACCTTGCGTTGAGTGCATTTGTGCCGTGCAACTTTATGGTGATCGTCGCCGCCTTGCCACACGTGCATGCGATGGCCAAGGTTAAGCTCACGGGTGCCGACCTCGTTGCATTTCCGATACTACCGCAATTGCGTCGACTCGCACTGCACAAGTGTGTGCTTTCCAAAGCGGCGGTGATCGACCTCGCGACTCTGCTGACGTCGTCGACGCGGCTCGAAGCGCTGGACCTCTCCGAGTCGCTGTTGCCAGACGCGCACGCACGGCACTTGCTGCTCGCCGTGCCGCGCTGGTGCAGCCAACGCGGCCCGTTCCGGCTCTTGCGACTCTGCCACACGGCGCTCTCTGACGAGAGCGCGGCGGTTCTGGCAATCGCGCTGGCGACGGCTCGCAACACGAGTGCCGTGTGGATCGACGTCAGCGGCAATGTGCTCTCGGCGGCCTCGTGCCGCGGACTTTTGACGGCGCTGAGTGCGACGACACAAATGACGCTCATGCTCTACAACGCCGGCCCGTCGATCGAAGACTTGGTGACACATGCGCAGACCCATGGCGTCGGGAGCGTCCGCGCCTTGACGTTTACATCGCCGCCGCCCGAGGCGAACCCGTGGACAACGTAGTCTTTTTGAAATCTAGAGTAGTCTTAACCTATAGCTTGGACAAACCATTCCTCGATTGTTGTGCGAACACGGAGTAGCTTGAGGGCTTGCAACAATTTTCGAGATGGGCAAAATGACGCTTTATTGACGTGGAAGAAGATTCTATCTTCTTGGGACTTGAACTGGGCACAGAGAGTGGTGCACGCTGGGTGCTCGCGACATCCAAGCCAGGTGCGCAATTCGATTGTAGCTGTCAAGATGCGGGTGGCACAAATTGACCACCTTTTGTCCCGACGGTGGATAATTCCTGCGTCACATACACGAGGTGCGGCGCTCATGTCCCGTCAGTGTTGTCAGCGTAAAGCCTAAAGTACCGACCCTGCCCCGGGCGAGGAGTGACGGGTTGCGCAACTCGAATCGAAATCTGAAATGAGAGGGGTTGTGGGATTGGATTTTGCCCTGAATCGACCCAAAATGCCGTAACCCTCGCTGAGTGCAAGCACGCCTAATGACCTCCGCGGCTGCCACGTCATGGACGAATTATAGCAAATCAGAAGCGTCCAGACCGGCTGGCGTGTTCCGTACTGTCTCCGGATACGCAACGCAAACTTCAAAACCCGCAAGCGTCCAGCATTACCGAGTCGAAGCGCGCCAAGGCGCACGCAGCCCGATGGCTGCTGCCGCCGGTGGTCCTTCACGTGGCCCACTACCTCGATGACGCCAACGAAGTCGTAGCCTTCCTCCATGCAGTGCCAGCCGACGCTCGCGACGAGGCCCTCGATGCGCTGGCGTCGCTCCTTACACAAGACGAGTTCTTGTGGCCGGACACGAAAGTGTCCTCCTTGGTGCAGATGGACGAGGCGACAGTGATCAAGGCGCTGCCAGCGCTCCACAAGCTCTATATCAACGAGGAGGCTCGAGTCGTCGCCTTTTGCAGTCGCACACCGCTTCCGCCGACCGCCAACGTCCGCGCGGCCGTCAACGACCTGCAGGATCTCGAATCCAACTTTAGCAACTGGGTACCGAGCATTGCGCGCATCGACTTTACCGTCAAGCACATGCCGCTGGACAGACGCGTCCTTGAGAAGGAGCTTGCAACGTGTGCGAAGCTTCAGGAGCTCAGCATCGAGTGGGACGATGCCGTTGATCAAGCCCAGCTGGACGACGTCATGGCGGCCGTCGCTGCTTCATGCCCGCGCCTCGCCAAGTTGCGCCTCTTTTCCATGACGGTTGTGCGTTTGCAATGCTGCAAAAGCCTTGTCGCGTGGCTGACTCAGCCGCGTGTACGCGTGTTCAAGCTCTACGGAATTGACTTTGCGCCGCCCGCCGCCAAGACCTTGGCACACACACTTCTCTCGTCGACGACGCTCCATACGATCAAGCTCTTTCGCGCCTCTAGCGTCATCGAAGCGTTCTTGAACCCAAGCTCCCCGCTGCTGCCCAACCAACTGCGCAACATGGGGCTCGAATTTGAGTCCACCTCGGTCGATGCTTGGGCGCTAGCAGCCAAGCTTTCGCCCACAACCATCCACAGCTTGGATCTCCGCTTTCTTGAGACGTGCGAGATCTCGCCCATCGTGGCCACCTTGCCGCGGACGTTGAGAAAGCTCAGCCTCTCGACCGTCACGATGACGACCTTCCCGACGCTACCAAAGCTCCAGAAACTTGAGCTGTGGGCCGTGGCCTTGACAAGCGACGCCGTGGCAAGTTTGTCGGCGCAGCTCTCAACTTCCGACTCGCTCGTCCGGCTCAAACTCGCTCACGCGGACTTGCCCAAAGATCAGCTGGAAACGATCCTGTACGCACTACCACGTGTGCTGAGTCGCCAGAAACAAGCGTGTTACGTGGGCCTTCCCGTGTCGATCGCGACAGAGATGCTTGTGACCGTCGTGCTGCTTCTCACGCGCAATACGCAGCACGTGTGGCTGGACCTTTCTGGTGACGCCTCGCTCGACCTGGCAATGTGCCAGCGCCTCTTGGCAGCCTTTCGTGCAACGTCGCGGATGAAAGTAGCCTTTTACGGCAAGGATGCACCACTCGTCTTTGAGGAAGACGTCACAGGCTACGCTGCGGTGCACGGCATTGAGTTCGCCAGCTGTTGGTACACGTCGCCGAGCCACTCACCGTGGCTCGCGCCAGCGTAGGCGTCCCTACACAATACGCCAAGTTTTTTGCACAGTCCTTGCAACATCCTCAACCCGTCGAGTGGTATTTGTGTGGTGTTGGCCCGGCGCTTAATTTTGACGCCGCCTCGTGACAGCCCTTGGAACGGCGTCGCGGATGAAGGCGACGTTTGTGATGATGCCGAGCCCCAGCGACGAGAGAAATCTCCAGGCACTCCAGATGCAGTTCTCGGTGGGGTATTACCGCTCACCACTCAACTCGCCGTGGCTGGCACTTGCGTACACGTGTAATGTTCGTCGCAGTCTTCAATGCATGATCTTTCGGTGTCGTATCGAAACTGGTCCGTCATGTAGTATGCATGACCCCTTCGATGAATGAGCACCGAAACAAAGTGTACTTAGGACTCGAAATGCCAGTGATGGCTCCTTTGCCGCTCTGACAGAACGTCAAGGAGGATAGAATCTGTGTTAATACTACGCAGCCATACTAACACGTTTAGAAGAGGCAGAAAATGAGTGTCGTCGGAGTCGAACGCCGAATTCTCAGAGCAACGTCATTGCGCTATAGTATGATGGCCAGAGCAGGACGGCCGAGCGCGTCCGCAGTGCATGTCGTTGCAATGCGTCGGCTACGAAGAGCTCATGGACCTGGACGACCATTTCGATGCTCGAAACGAACTGTTTTATGTTTCACGCTGTCATCGATCGATGTAGTCACCCCGTTTTTCTGAATCATCGACGACCAGAAGGACCAACTACGCATCGTAATGAAGGCCTTTCTCGGCCGCCGCGATAACTCGTGTGCTTTAAACAAAGCTATGTATACGACGTATCTACCGGCAAATAGGTGGGTGGAAAGGCCGACCCTCAATATAGGACCCATAAACCATAAAATGGGTGTTTTGCGCGCGCAGCAAGTCGAAACGATCTTTTCACGAAGCGGCGTATCTTGCGAGGCTGTCGTAGAGCTAGCATTCTAGATTTCGACGCCTACTAAGCAACCCGCCTCACCTCACCCGAGGTCATGGCAGTAATGAAGGCATTACGCCCTTTGCCCCCTGAGCAAGCTCGCCATTGTGAAATAAACAATAAAATCGAGGACCCATTAAGACAGCAACCTAGGTATATGCACTAAGAAATCAAACAACTTGTCGTATGATGTATCAAGAGTACACCCATTCACAGTGAATTTATGTACTCTTGGATGTATGTACCCAAGGGCCACCTTTTGATGCCTTTGGCGTAACGTTAGTTGAGACTGCGCAGCCATGGCGTACGGCTTGGTGAGTGGAACCACTCGTTCGAGTACTCGATACCGTGCAACTTGGCGTGGGTCTTGAGCTCTTCGACGTCGGCGCGAGGCTCGTCATTGCCCGGAATGGCCAGTGTCATGCGCCATGTCGCACCAAAAGCTGTCAAGAGGCGTCGGCACGCTGCCAGGTCGAGCGAGGCGTCGCCAATAAGCACCAACTGTACCAGCTGCGTGTTGCGCGTCTGCAAAATCACGCTGGCCACGAGCATCTCGGTCTCGATCGTCACGGGGAGGCTCACGTAACACGCTTGTTTCTGGCGACTAAGCACACGGGGCAGCGCGTACAGGATGCTTTGAAGCTGATCTTTGGGCAAGTCCGCGTTCGCGATTTTGAGCCGGACGAGCGAGTCGGAAGCTGAGAGCTGCGCCGACAAACTTGCTACGGCGTCGCTCGTCAAGGCCACGGCCCACAGGTCGAGTTTCTGGAGCTTTGGTAGCGTCGGGAAGCTCGTCATCGTGGCGTTCGAGAGGTTGAGCTTTCTCAACGTCCGCGGCAAGGTGTCCATGATGGGCAAGATGTCACGCGACACATCGAATCGGATATCCAAGGTGTTGATGGCCGTGGGCGAAAGCTTGGCTGCTAGCGTCCGAGCATCGACTGAGGTGGACCCGAATTCGAGCCCCAAGTTGCGCAGTTGGTTGGGCAGCGGCGGAGAGCACGGATCCAAAAACGCGTCGAGGACGCTAGAGGTACTGGAGAGTTTGATCGTATGCAGTGTCGTTGACGCGAGAAGCTTGTGTGCCAAGGTCTTGGCGGCGCGCGGCGCAAAGTCAATTCCGTAGAGCTTGAACACGCGTACACGCGGCTGAGTCAGCCACGCGACGAGACTCTTGCAGCACTGCAGATTCGCAATCGTCTCAGATTGTAGGCGCAAATTGGCAAGGCGCGGGCACGAAGCAGCGACGGCCGCCATGAGGTCTTTCAGCTGCGCTTGATCCATCGCATCGTACCAATCGATGTTGAGCTCCTGAAGCTTCGTACACGGTGCAAGCTCCTTCTCAAGGACGCGTCTCTCGAGCGACGTGTGCTTGACGGCAAGGCCAAGGCGAGCAATGCTCGGTACCCAGTTGCCAAACTTGGATGCGAGATCCTGCAGGTCGTCGATGTCCGCTTGAATGTTGGCGGTCGGCGGAAGCGGTGTGCGACTGCAAAAGGCGACGACTCGAGTCTCCTCGTTGATACAGAGCTTGTAGAACGCTGGCAGCGCCTTGATCACTGTCGCTTCGTCCATCTTCGCCAAGGAGGACACTTCCGTGTCCGGCCACAGGTCGTCTTTGTCTTGTGTGAGGAGCGACGCCAGCGCATCGAGGGCCTCGTCGCGAGCGTCGGCTGGCACTGCATGGAGGAAGGCTACGACTTCGTTGGCGTCATCGAGGTAGTGGGCCACGTGAAGGACCACCGGCGGCAGCAGCCATTGGGCTGCGTTCGCTTTGGCGCGCTTGGCCTCGGCCATGCTGGACGCTTGCAGGTTTGGAATTTTTCTGATAGGACAGGCGGGCTGGGTGCATCTGATTTGCCAATAATACATCTATCAACAACTGCAAAGCGATGCATCCACTCAACTGGGTTTTCAAAGGAGCTCTAGCTCTTTCGAAGCCCAGTTGAGTTGAGTGTACTACAAGTTGTAGTAGGAACCGATCGCAAGGAATTGAAAAACGGTATCGGCATCCAAAGTCGGATCCCTTCGACAGGACGAGGTATTGCGCGGGAGCCAAGTTCACGACAACCATCAGCATCCAGGAAATTTCCCGTGACCATCTTCCGTGGGTGGCATTCGTCGGCCGCGAATACATACAAAAAGCGACTTGATTCCGAAATCTCTCTCGTTCATAGCGTCAAACGCCTCGTAACGACCCTATACATTCGTCTTCTCCGGCTCCTCGCCCAACACGAGTGGCCGCGACGTCACCTCGTTCCGCGGATTGCACTCCTGCCTCCGCCTGCCTAAATCACGTCCCTCAACCGAGTACACACAACGAAGAAAGTTCGACAATTTTATTTAGCATAGTTTTATCTATTGTAATAGACGACCCACTTCAACAACAACGACCCTACACATTCAAGTGGCCTATCGTTATTTCGCCAAAATATCGAAAAATCACATGTTTTTTCATTTTTGACCTCAAATCGTATCCTACGTGCATGAAAACTTGGCACATCAATAAACAAGTAGTATGACACGTTTGACAACTATCCATTGCCACGCCAGATAGCTAGAAGTGTATGAACCCCAGGTGGCCTATCTCTAGTACGCGCACTGTAGACTTGGAGAAATTTACATTTCTAACATCAACTTTTCCGAGTCAAAGAATGGGCAACCAAGCGCGCATCGGCAGAGGCAGCCCTTTGGTTGTTGCCTCCAATCGTGCAGCAGGTGGTCTACTGCTTGGAGTCTGTCGAGGACGTGCTGGCCTTTCTCGACGCGGTGCCACCCGACGCCCTCGATACACTCAAGACGCTTGTCGATGTCGATGCAAACTTGTGGTCGGTCCCCTCTGTGACCGATTTGGCGGAGATGAATCCATCCACCACGGCAAAGTGCTCCCAGCGTTAACGACAAAGCCTTCGACGACCTTTGCCGGCGCACGCCGCTGCCGGCGACGACGCTATCTCGTGCCGGCGTCAGCGGTATTTTCGATTCAACGACGGCCACTGGATCTCGACGATTGAGAACTTGGGTATCCCGGTTAAGGGCATGACACGAGCTTGCCGCCATGATGGCCGCGACGAGTCTCTCAATGCGCTCTTGCCGCTTTTGGACAAGAAGTCCGCGCTCTGGCCGGTAGCAACTATAAATGCTTTGCAAAGCTTGGACGCATCGATGGTGTCGAAGGGGCTCCGCAAGCTACGCGTCGACGGAAGTGACAACCTTGCCGAGCTCTGCGGCCCCCCGGTCGATACCTCGCACCTGCATTTTGCCACGTGCGTTTCAAACTTGTCGTCCCTTGCGATAAGCGAGTGCGACACACCGCTGGACGGGCACGTTCGACGGCAAGACCTCGCGGCTTGTAAAAGGCTTGGGTCGCTCCCATTTTTTGGGACTACGTTGATCAGAAACAATTGAACGTTCTCCTGGCGTCCGTCCCCGCCTCGTGCCCCTGCTTTCATCTCTGCGACTCTCGTTGGAGACGGACGGTGAAGCTGCAAAGTTGCGATGGCTTCCTTTACTGGCTTGGTGACGAGCTCCGTTGGGTGGTTGACGAAATATGGGCAATGCGGGTAGCTGCAGAGTGCTCTCCTAGCAGCTCTCTTGCTGCTCCAGCCGTCGGGCCTCCCACTGCAGCCGTATATCGAACTTGCTGTCCACCTGTATGCGGCCTCGACCGGCGACAAGCATCGCCCTACGTGCTCCGGGTACCGTTGCAACGGCACGCACATGGCGCGCGCCACATCGTCGCTCGCTTTGAGATGGTGGATAGGAAGAGATCCTCTGCATTGATGCACACACCCTTACTGTATTCAACGTCAGTAAGATCAATAAGAACGTAAACTGAAGTGGTAAACTGTGTTCTTCTGCAGTACGGACTAGGTTTCTTAGTCTTGCAGAGGCACGGCGAGCGAGCGCTCGAGGCGTGCCTTGGCGTCGTGCATCTTGGTGACGAGGTCCGTTGGGTTGTTGACCAAACTTGGCGTGTGTTTATGGACCAATTCCCAGCACAGATCTTGGGCGTGCGACGGGTACCAATGGAACGCGGTGCCGGCTTCCATTCTTTGTGTGAGGTACTTGCACCCGCGCGTCACAAACCACTCGGTCCTTGGCTCTGGGTCTCTCGCAAACGTCTTGAGCTTTGTGCAAGTGCGGCAGTCGCAGGGCCACGCCGCCATCGTTGATGTCTCGCGGGTCGACATTAAGGCGAGACGCGCCGCGAGTACGGGCACGCTTCGCATCGCAAGGTCCATCGCCAGCGACGCAAGGTCCGAGTCCACAAACGCATCGTGAAGCGGCACAAACACGTCCATGATGAACGTGACCTGGTCCATGTGCATCGCTTGCTGCGTGAAGAGCCGGTCGAGTAGGTTGGCCAAGGCGTCGTCGGCGCGTACGTAGTGGCAGATCCAAATGGCATCCTGCACCTGGGTCGCGAGCGTCTTCAGGCAGGTGGCGTCCGTCTGCACTCGGAGTGGCAAGACCTCCTTGACCGCAGCAAGGACCTGCAGCGTCAACCGCGCTGCGAGCGACGGCGCGAGGTGCGTCATGGGTGCCGCGAGCATATCCACCCAAATGTTCAAGTCCATTTCTTGACGCACGCCCGCATCCACGGCCGCTTCAAAGGACGGGGTACCGGCCGAAACTTTGAGCAGCGCGCCGAGTCCGAGGGTTTTGCAGTCACGCGTCGTGGCGTAGTAGGCGATCGCGATGTCAATGTACGGCTGCAATTGCAGCGCCAGTGGTACGTTCCGAAGCGCCCATAGCGTTTCGGGCACTTGTTGCAGCAACAGCTCGGTGCGGTGCACGGCTTTCAAGAGAGAGCAGTCGTGTGGGTCAAAGCGCGCAATGATGTCCACAATGGGCGCCGGAAGCCGCTGCTCCAAGACACCGCCGACCACGCTGTCCGTGCGTTCGGTCGCCAAGCACGACGTGATGCGCAACGCCCCTTGGAGAAAGACGTCGTGGTTTGGGAGAAGCTTCTCGTACCAATCCCGTCCTTGGTCGTTTTGCCGACGCAGTAGCAAGTTGAGTACGGCCTTGAGGAACTCGGTCGCGTGGCGCTGGCGCAGGCGCAAGCGGTTCTCGTCGACAAGCCCGCGAAGCAAGTGCATGAATTTGGCATCCTCCGATGTATCGGTGACGTACACCACTTGCAAGACGAGGGGCAGCAGTTGCTGCCAGCCGAAGCGCGCCACGAGTTCCAGAAACCAGGTTTGCGCCAGATCGGCCACGTCCCAAAAGACGTTGCCGACGGTGTGTTGGAGAAAGTGCATGTACAAATCCATGTCGTCGCGGCCCAAGACATGGAAGAGGAGGGACCCGAGACGGTGCCAGTGAGCGCGCTCAATGTCCATGTCGTAGCGCTCACGGACGCGATCGCGTAGCATATGGATGACGGCAGAGACCAGGTCTGCCATCGAGTCGAACGAGTCGGCCAATTCGGTGCTCAAGGCGTCGCGAGGCGTCTGCAGTAGCTCGACCATGCGCGGGAAGCCGACGAAGTACACGCGGTGCGCCTTGGGCCAAAAAGCGACAGCAATCTCGCCAATGTCGTGGTGATCCAGCGCCGACAACGCGCACAAGCGGGCGTGGGGGCTCGAAGCGACGACCAACGCCGGCACGTTGCACGCTGCGTGAAACACGACGTCGTCGGTCCGCCCGTAGGGATGGAAGAGTGCCACGTCGACGACACCGGTCGAAATGAGGTACTCGACCACCGCCGTCGCCTTGCCGTTGAGCGCGTCGAACGATACAGGACCGGCGTGTGCAAAGTGCCAGCAGAGTGCCACATGCGTATGCTCGCTCCATTCGGCCACTGCGTCCTGCATGCGCGCGATTGTCGGGGGCGGAATCGGCTTGCTGTACTGGCGATACAGCACGTCTTCGTCGCCTTTGGATTGTACCGTCGAGTGGTCCACGGTGTAGAGGACTGCGGCGCGCGTGCCCGACACAATGGGTGCCACGTCAAGGCTGCACGCCTCCGAGTAGTACGCAACGACATGGTCGTCAACGCTGTCCCACTGCGTAGTGTGGTCGCGGTACGAAACGGTGACAGCACCACCAACGGCATCCGAAGCAAGCACGTGTGCCTTCGTGCCAAACGTTAAGTCGTCCGACTTCGGGAGTGTCAACGCCGCCGCTGTGCCAACACAGTCGATCGTGAGCATCTCAGGCGTCACGGTATAGCAGCCCTACGGGTGCAAGCGCCGTTCGACTGGATTCTCAAAGTCGCGGTGGTGGAAGAGATCGTCGCTTAGAGCTTCCAGGCAGCGCCGTTCGATCGCCGTCCACGGAATCCGGATCGGAAGGCACTGAGCTGCGCCAGCTGCGCCGCCGAGAGCGGCCACGAGAGCGGCTTGCGCATGCCATTGACGTATATCTTGGGAACAAACGGCATGGGGCGCTCGGAGCGGCTGCAGTACGTTGCGTGGATCGACAGCGCGAGCTCCAGCATGGTTAACGACATGGTTCTATTGAGCAAATGAAGATCTGACGCGTGCAGGACGCGATTATTGCTCTTGAAAGACCATCAGTTGTACCAAATCATGTCCAAGGCAAAGTATCCACTGCGCAAGTGAAGGTCCCGACGCACTCACACTTGCCCGTTGTGTGGTCAGCAGCCCGGAACGCCCTCCGCGCGTTTGATGTACCGGTACCGGTATGCGCCAATCCTGCCTCGCGTTGCAATTTCCGACCAATCGAGTCGCATGTATCTTTGGGCGGACCAATCGCACGGCCGCGTAGTGCACTTTCGTCGACCTGACAAAGATGTTGCTACCATCGTACCCAGGATGTGCGTTCTTATCAGCTGCTTGCATGGGATTGCATCCAGAGTGCTGGTGGATCCAAATGACCATCACTACTGTAGGATTGCACTTTTGCTCGACGGTTACAAAACTACACTGTATGGTTGTAGCACGACAAGCAACAGGGACCACACATTTTATCAGTTGCCAATTGACACGCCACCGCTCACATGTCGCTACGCATGGCCAACATCGCCGCGCATGCTTTCGCGAGGCATGCGTGTTGCACCAAGCGGCTGGAGCCCGTCGCACTTCCGCATCCAAGGGTTCGACGAAGAGCTCCTTTGGCCCTTGCCGCCGCGCCAAGTGGCAGCGCTTCGTGCTCTCTATCCAGGCACCTCGATTATGATTCCGGGGCGCCAGATCATCTGTCTTGACGATGAGCTCGCGTACCGACCCGAGTACGAGACTGTCAGCCGCGGCATCAGACCGGGGTACGCAGGGGCGTGGACGATCCACTCGCTCACGATCGACACGACCGGCGACGCAGCCGCATGGACGAAAGCGCAAGAGTACGCGAGAGCCTTCGGTACCACGGTGCACGTGCTTCCGTCGAATGCTCTCGGTGGCGCCGTCACAGTCTCGTACGTCGACCGATCCTCGACATGGGCGTCCGTCGACGACTGCGTACTCGGCTTTTGCAACGCTTGCTCGGTGCATGTTTCGCCCATAACATCCGGTGCTCGTACCATGCTTGTCTTCGGCACGAGTGAAGACGACGACGACGACGGCGACGACGACGGGCGCTGTGACAGCGACGACGAATGGCCTTGCGAATTCGGTGACGAGAGTAAGAACGGTAACGACGCCTTCTACATGGAGACGTCCGTTAACAGGAACCCAATATCGATCGCGACGCACGCGCAGATGCTCGACGCAGTGGCCGCTGTCGCCGACCACACGGACGTCTATGCTGTCTTGCGCGTGTACCACCATGGCGCACTGTCGTCCATGGACGACCTCTCCGACCACGTCCGCGACGCGATCTCGTTTCTTGCGTCCACCAATGTCCTCGACGTGGCGGTGTATTCACCCATCTCCAACGCGGTACTGTTCGACCCTCGGTGTCACCAAGGGTATATAATAAATGATTTATTATATACCCTTGGTGTCACGTACCAGCGTCAGTCGTCGCGGCCAGCACCCGCGCCTGCCTCCTAACCTTCTTGAGCGCCGACTCCGTCACAAAAGTTGACAAGATCCAAGTGGCGTATTGGCCCAAGACGCACCGCGTGTACTTTCTCGGGTTCGAAGCCGCGACTTGCTCGGGTTTGAGACGCTGCGCGACTTGGCGTCGGCGACGATCAGCATGCTCCGTGAGGCGCCGTTGGAATGGCATCTCGGCGTGACATCCGATCACTGGGCGTCGCTTGGCGCGTGCCTCCTGGACGATGGAGACTTGGGTCTGGCCATGGACTTGCTCTTTAGAACGACCGACGATCGCTTTTGGACCATGCCCACGATCGTCTGCGATTGGTTCCGTGCGTTCGTGATGCGCTACGGGTGGCACACGGTGCTACCGCCCTTTTTGCGCTGCATGGAGCGCACCACCACCGAAGCCATGCACATGCACTTGATGGCGCGTCTCATCGAGGGCAACAAGCTCTGCGTGCGGCAGCACCACGCGACCGAGCTACTCGACACCGTGCTATGTCTGCTTTTGGAGCGCCAAAGCTCGGCCAAACACCTTCCGCGCGTCGACAGCTTCTTGAACGATGCACTGCGCGTATCTCTATGCTTGGTCGACGAGTCCACGGACCCGCTGGTCGGTGGGATTGTGGCGACGCGCGTCCCGCCACCGATTGTGGCCCTTGTCGAGAGCTTCCAGCCGCCGAAATGGACACTTGTGCGCGCGTTGCGACTTAGCACCCAGCTGCAGAGTGCTCTCCCAGCAGCTCTCTTGCTGCTCCAGCCATCGGGCCTCCATCTGCAGCCGTACATCGACCTTGCCGTCCACCTGTACGAGACCTCAACCGGCGGCATCGGCGACCGTGGGTATGTGGCTCTGCTGCAGCTCACACACGGGACACCGAGCTTTGACAGGATCTTTGACAAAGCGTTGACGTGCGACGTGTAGGTCGGATGCTGGTCGAGCCTTCTCGCGACGCCAGGACTGCAGCTCGGTCCGTCGCAGACGGCGCGGCTCGTGGCAGCCACCACGGACGCATTTGATTGCGGCACAGGTTCGAATTGCATCTCCGATACGGACGACTTGTCGGATACTCTCCGTGGGGCGCAAGACGGCGCCCGACTCTTTGCTACGTTGGACAACGCGCCGGGGCTGGCGCACCTGCTCGAGCACGCGAACGATCTGGAAGCCGCCCACAAAGACCCCATCACGTTCGTCATGGACTTTCTTCTGCCACTGCACGACACGTGCATCGAGAGCCATCTTGACGAGGTTGCGCGGACGCTCGCCGCGCACGGCTTGCCGCAATTGACCGCGCGCCTCGCCGCGCTGGAGGCATAAAAAAGACGTGTGGCCAGCAGCCATATTGGGGGTGGTGTGACCGCCACTGCGATGCTATCCTGGCGTTCGCTGAGAGCAAGCACCCGTCCACGTTCGAGTTCCGCGTGTCTCGCTACTGCACCCAGGAAGCCATCGACCGAGGGCGTATCCTGCTACGTCGGTACCCACAACACATCCGCGATGTCTGCATGAAGACCGTCAGGGCGAATCCTGCCAAGTACACGCTCATCAACCACCCGCACGAGCTCGTCGAGAAGATGCAAGACGCTGCCAACCGCCTCCAATCGAGCCTCGACGGTAGTCTCCAAGCGAAACGAACAGCGCAAAACGATGCGTCGCCGCCCAAGCGCCCACGCGTCGCGTCGTAAACTTGCAATCGTTCTGCTGCGTCTGGCGGCACCAGCCCCTATCCGGATACTACACAGAACATATATATATATATCGTGAAGCTCTAGTATCGGTACAAAGGTCGCGAATGCGATGCAACGATTGTCGACGCTGTCATGCCCGGAAAGATAGACTTGCGATGTTGGCCGATGTGTGCATGGGCGTGCAGCACCTGGCGCCAAGCAATCTCCTTGCTGCTGGCGCACGTCACTGCGGCCGTTGTCGACGTCACGCCGATCGTCGAGACCTTGTGCTCGAGCTTGGTCGCCTTCCAAGTCCAAGGTGCGGTCTATAGGAATTTGGCGGATGTCATGACACTGTTTACAAGCGAATACACTGTTTACAAGCGAATACACTGTTTACAAGCGAATACACTGTTTACAAGCGAATACGCTGTTTACAAGCGAATACACTGTCGCTTTGGCGATGAAGTCGCGTCCAATGGTCGCCCAATACTCGCTTCGAGGCGCGTGGCAGCGTCGTGCATCTTGGTCACAAGCTCGTCCGTGCGGTTGACCAGCAATTGCATACTCGTAAATAGGTTGGCGGAAGGACGACCCTCGATATAGGACCCATAAACCATGAAATCGAGGACCCATTAGGACAACAACCAAGGTATGCACTAAGAAATCAAACAACTTGTCGTATGATGTTTCAAGAGTACACCCATTCACAGTGAATTTATGTACTCTTGGATGTATGTACCCAAGGGCCACCTTTTGATGCCTTTGGCGTAACGTTAGTTGAGACTACGCAGCCACGGCGTACGGCTTGGCGAGTGGAACCACTCGTTCGAGTACTCGATACCGTGCAACTTGGCGTGGGTCTTGAGCTCTTCGACGTCGGCGCGAGGCTCGTCATTGCCCGGAATGGCCAGTGTCATGCGCCATGTCGCACCAAAAGCTGTCAAGAGGCGTCGGCACGCTGCCAGGTCGAGCGAGGCGTCGCCAATAAGCACCAACTGTACCAGCTGCGTGTTGCGCGTCTGCAAAATCACGCTGGCCACGAGCATCTCGGTCTCGATCGTCACGGGGAGGCTCACGTAACACGCTTGTTTCTGGCGACTAAGCACACGGGGCAGTGCGTACAGGATGCTTTGAAGCTGATCTTTGGGCAAGTCCGCGTTCGCGAGTTTGAGCCGGACGAGCGTGTCGGAAGCTGCGAGATGCGCCGACAAACTTGCTACGACATCGCTCGTCAAGGCCACTGCCCACAGGTCGAGTTTCTGGAGCTTTGGTAGCGTCGGGAAGCTCGTCATCTTGACGGTCAATAGTTTGAGCTTTCTCAACGTCCGCGGCAAGGCGACCATGACGGGCGATATATCATGCGACGCATCGAAGCGAAGATCCAAGCTGTGGATGGTCGTGGGCGAAAGCTTGGTTGCAAGTGTCGGTATATCGACCGGGGTGGACCCGAATCCGAGCCCCACGTTGCGCAGTTGATTGGGCAGCGGCGGAGAGCACGGATCTAAAAACGCCCTAATGACGTTTGCAGCGTCGAGAAG